CTAACTTATTCTAAACGTTCAGTTCTACATGCTTGAAAAGCTCAAAAAGTCATGAAGCTAACTTGCTAAGAACTTAAAAGTGCACTTGCTTCCAAAGTTGCAATGTTACAAAATTGTTTGCGTTTCCCAAAGTATGCTAGAAGGAAGAGCAAGCTGGAGAAGAAGTTATCCAATGTCGATAATTGCAAGTTTTTAGAATTAACCCTCAGGGCACACGCTTTTTTCAACTATATAGAAGTAGAGAACTACCTCTATGATTCAACCAAGAGCAACGCATTCAATGCAATTTGTTTTCGTATTCTCTACCGCAATGGCCGTATCACAGTTCGGCAACATCTGGTGGAATCTTCATTTGTCAAAACAAACATGGAGTCCCGCTGAAGACGACGATCTCTTTCCTTATAAGTCGCTTTTATCTCCAAATCAATCACAATGCCAGGGACAACACCAAAGACAGTCCAAGAGGATGAAATGGCCAAAGCAAAGATTCTCGTAAACACACTAAAAGAGAAGGGTATAACATTACTTGCTATAGATTTTGACCGTACAATAGTGTCTGTGCACACGGCGGGAGCATGGCGGAGAGGAGCCGAGACTTTGGCAGAGTACGTGCGTCCCTGCTTCAAAGCAGCACTTAAAGCAGCCTTAGCTGAGACTTTAATCCACGTCTGCGTGGTTACCTACTCCCAGCAGCCTGAGTTGATCAGGGAAGTGCTCAAACATGCCTTGCCACATAGGTAATTTTATTTCATAGATGTGGATTCATGGATTCATGATATATTTCACCAATGCCGTACATGGTGAATATCAACACATTTACTTATGATAAATGTAGAATTGAATAAATGTAGGTCCTCTCAACCCAAGCTCTTCTCTGTCACAGTTTGGTGTGTGACTTTAGGACTGGGTATGAGTACGCATATTTCTGGCATACAGGTAGACTGGATTAATTGATGACATTCAAACAGTTAACATCAAATAATAAGCTAAGGGCCCATTCCCAATGCAAATATGGTTCTACATAGCTTGAGCTAACTCCATGGGGACTCTCGCTGAATGATTAACAGATTAACATGCCTCCTCTTGTTTCCAATGACAAACGTACTCATAATCACCAGCTTTCTGTATACTCCTCATTGCCAGGAGGAGGCGTGTTAAACTGATTGCATTCAGCAAGTTCCTGCAGTGCAGGATAATTCTACAAGAAATGTAATTAACCATTAAATGTTCCAGGAGGTTTGTAAGCTGCATATACATTTATTGTTGTAATTTCTAATAATAATTATTGATTAAATGTTTTAAAATTCATCACCCTGTGAACAATGCATGGTGAATTCTGTGTTTATTTTAAGACAGAATTTTATTCAAAACTGTTTCTAATGTGATATATACAGGTGACTGCATTGATGTATCAGCCACTTCATTTGCTGTGACTGTTCCTAGATTAAGCAGAGTAGTTTTATGGTATATTTCTTGCCCCTCAGAATAGCATCTTGTAAGAATAACAGGGCTGATACATGTAGGTCGAGTTGCCTTTAAGTGTAGGTATGACTGTGTTAGCAGGTTTCATTAAAGTTAAACAGTTGTCTGTTTACAGTTTTAGCATTTTAATACTATAAATTTGCAAGTATACTTTTCCACCATAACCAGTTTAAGGTTTTTTAATGTATAGAAAACTATAAAATGTTTTGATTTAAAATTTAAAGTGAATATTGCTCCTTGTTGGACTTGTGTGTCGGCATAGTTTTCTTTTTGACATAACCTGTTTGTATAATAGAAATAATTTAAGTTCAGCCCAGTCCTTTATGTTTAGAGTGAGAAGACATGATTTAGTGCTCACGTAGGAGATATGGTTCAGTTGTAATGGTCCACCTTACAGGTTGTGCTATAGTTGGTAGAGGTTTTATTTCTTGAGCTGTGTTGAAATTGCTGAAATTGCTTTTGTTCTGTAAAAATAAGCAAAAGTTAAACCATGTTCCCAATGCTTTGGCGAAAAAAAAAAAAAATTATGAAGTCTCATTCTCTGGGGCAATAAGTCAAATTTGTTTTGTGGTTGTTGAACAAGGTGTATGCTGGAAAGTTTATTTCTTGTTATTATGTCACTGAAGGTGGTGCCTTGTTCACCACCTATTACTTAGAAAGTCGGCTCATCTATCTTCATTATAGTTTGAGATCCCTGTAACAGGGTAGTTGTTGATTACTAGTCGGAGGTTTCCTTTTTATGCTGTGTAGAAGTTCAAGAGCAAGGGCATTCATGTTAAGTTACAGTGCATTAACATTTTTAGAACTATATTCTTAGTGTTTTGGATTTTCTAGAAATTTTAAAAATTGCAAGGTAACTTCCTCAAAATAGTGGCCCTTGCACATTCACAATATTGATGCTGCAAGTACTTCCCACTATAGACAAAAAATAGGAAGCAATTATGAATATTTAAAGAGAATGAGTAACACTTTATTATCCCTGAGTGCTAATTGCTTATCCACTGGTCTAATCCTGATGCTAATTTTGGTAGCAGTGAAATTCTAAGCTTGGCTTGTGTTCAAATAGTCTGGTTCTTTAAAGTCATAAAAATACAGGAGGAAAATTATAAACATGAAATGGTCCATGGACGTGGCTTTAGTCACACACTAGAAACCTTTTGAATAATGTTCTATAACTGAGGAATTGTCAAAATTTTTTTATCAAAGATTAAAATTTTAAAGATTTTCCACTTGCAATAATACCAGAACTCTCTGATTTATCCCGGCTAACAGTACGGGTAGCAAGGCATATTTTTAGATATCATGAAAAGATATCATGAAAGATATTTGTCTGTTTTCCTGTTGGGTTCAGAAACTATTTAAGGAACACAGGACATAAAGAATATAGACCAAAATAGTGATGTTTGAAAGGGGGGGGGGG